AATTTTTTAAGATTTAAATCAATTAATTATATTTAAGATTACCAGAACCAATTCCGCCAAGTACGCTACTATCAGCAGCTACTACTGTAGGTGGAGTTGTACTTTGTGGTGCCACACTAGGTAAATATAAACATGCAAATCCTTCTGCACTCATATCAAGTTCTACAAACGGTGGTAAAGTACAAGAACCATGTGCCCGAAAATCTTTTGGTGTTGTCATAGATACTAAAGTTTTAATACGCGTTAGTGGTACAGGTCCACCTCGAACTTTATTTGGTTCAATATCATCGAGTGAAATACAGCACAATGGATCACCCAAACGCAAAAATTCTCTACAATCACAAAAATAATAACTTATATAAATATTATATATGATAATCAAATTTTTTAAATTTTATATCTTACCTTAAATCACGTGGTTCTAAAGATTGTGCTGCAAGTCTTTCTATAATATATTGTAATGGTTGATGCAAAGGATGTGTTTCGTCCTGTAAAGCAATTCTACCAACAGATAACAATTCACCTGCCATTCCAGCATCACACATGATTTGTTGATTTCTTTCGGATCGCACTAGACTTTTAATAATTTCAGCAACATATAATTGTAAAGCTAAAGCCATTTGTGGATTAGATGGTTCTGAGATTGATGGAAGTAAATGTAGCATTCCAACTACAATACCAGGATGAACTACAATTGGTTCAGGACTAGGTGGATTCAAATTTAAAGAATTTATAATACTTCTCTTGCCACCTCCTGGAGAATCAAAAGATTTTTGTTGCTAAAAATAAAATAATGTTTTGTTATTAATTTAATAATAAATTTGTTATAATAATAATATTATATTTTATAAAATTATTAAAAATCACCTCAACACTATTTTGTTTATGGTTTGGTGATCTCATTCCTAAACCCACCAAATTCGGCTTATCAAAAGAATCGAGCGCTACATCATAAAGAAGTCTTAATAATAAGCATGCATATGTTAATGTCTTTGGTATAATTTCTGGGAATACAGGTTCTAATACACTTCCAGTAAATAGTGATGATAACATATTATGATAATTTGTAATTGATATTATATCTATTTCAGTAAGTTTTGTCTGCGTTGAGAAACACCCAAGCAATCGTAAAGTATCACACAAACTTGATTGACATATCTATAAAAGAAATATTGTATAAATATATTATAATATTAAAAATCACTTTATAAACATTAATACATAAATATTTACTTCATGATGAAAAAATTTTGCATTTGCAGGTTCAAATCTCATAGCTGTACTTATAGTATGAAATACAACATGTAAAAGAGTTAATAACTGTGCTTCTTCCTGTGGCGTTCTTTTTATAATATCATTACAAGGTTCTGTATTTTCCGATCTTTGCATGCCTAATTGACCTTCCAAAGATACTAAAACGGACATCACATATACGAAACCTCCTACTTTTCGAAAGACGGTCCTAGTTCGATGAGATTCTCGTAAACAAGCCAATAAAGACTAAAAAATAATAATATCTTATAACAGAGTATTAAAAGATATAAAAATTATTATTAGTATCAACTAACTTTTAATATATGTGTCTTTAAGACTAAGGCATTAGAAGGTGCTGAATGCATAACACCTAGTAATGTAGCCATATCATCATCTCCTCCTGCACTAAGTATTAATTCTCTAACAATACCAAGAGCTTGATATCTGCAGTCCATATAGGGTACGAGATTATGAGCACAACGTGCTCCGCCGCATTCCCTAAAAACATTAGCATTTTGAATATTGCTTGCCAATAATGTTGTTAAGGCTTCCATTACTAAGGCACCCAATCGCTCATCTTCCGGACAAATTTTACATTCTGAAAAAACAATATTTATTATTTCTATACATATTAAATGAATTTCTTTGAAAATAAAAATATAAAAATATTATTACCTAATCCTTGATCATATGCAGCCTGTTTATCTTTGAGTAAAGTTGCATAACGATGAAGACACGTAACAAAGACTTCTAACATACCTACTTCCCTGTATACATCTTTAAATATATTATTATGTCTAAAAAATCAATATAAAATATAATCATATATATTATATAGCAAATATATAATTCATAAATAAGAAATGTTGCTTATTACCTGAGTATATTAAGTAATGTTTCCATACATAAGATACTGCAACTGGTTGAATTATTTGTTTTGAGTAGTATAGATAATGATATAAGTTCTTTACAAGGCACAAAATTAAGTTGAAACACTATAAATTCTAATAGCTGAAAAAACTTTTCTTGTATTTCTCGATTTTTTAAGTAAATTTTTTCTGCAAATTGGGATAATGTATTTTGTCCTTCAAGTATAAAATAATTGGCATTGTCACTATGATATACACTCGATATTGCATCGAGAATTGTACAACATAAAAGTGGTGAATTAGACTTTACAAATACAGACTGTAATACTTGGAATGCTTGAATATTTCGAACGCTTCCTCCTAAAAAAATAATTAGTATTTTATTCATTATAAAAAATAATAGTATTTTAACAAATTATATATTTAATATATTTTTAATATATTATATATATTGAAATAATAATATATATTTTAACATATTATTATACATAATATGTTCTACTTATATAATTTAATTATATATTACTACTTATATATTAATTTACTTATATATAAATTTTTATATTTAATTTTATTAATATAATTTAAAATTGTATATTGAAATACCTCTATTACTTGGTTGAGGTAAAGTAAAACCAAGCATTTGAAATAAAGATCCCATACTAGCTTGACTTGGTTTTAATTCTGTATGACCACACATTGTTAAAGACGCCAACATAAGCACTAAATTTCGAATAGCATCTTGTGCTTCTGCTCTACTATCTTGTTCTAATCTTGATGGAGCATGTCTATATTATAAATATTTTTGAAGTTTATAATCTATTGTAATTATATTAACTTATATTATTAAGATTAAAAAAACTTTTACTTTAATAAAAATTCTGATAAAAAGATATATCCTTGACAAGCACGAAAATCATCCAAGAGTGTTTGAGATACTTCACTAGAATCTTTTAAAAAACAAAATACAGTAACAAACATTTCTACTACTTCCAATGGTGCCAACTCAGGTACACGTTGCATATTATCAACACATAATGCTATACATCCTTTATCTATAATTAAAAATTAATAATAGTATTTGATATAAAATTAAAATATATTTAATAATGTTTATTTAATGTGAAAAACAATAAAAATCAATTTATGAAAAATTATATTAATAAAAAATTATACTTACTGTGAATATAGCTTACTACATTTTGAGTAAGTCCATGTCGAGATAAAGTCATTAATACTTCTGCCGCGCTTTTACGCCACATTACGTTATAGTGAGGACACCAACTAGTTATTGCTGAGAATAATAAAGTTAGATCATCTTTACGGGCAAGTTCTTCTGCTGGATATGGATGACTACATAATCTCACTAATAACTAGAAGTTCAAAAATCAAATTAATTATTCAAATATATATTTCATTAAAATATGACATATATGAAATTTTTACTTGGACAAATATTTTTTGTAATAATATTCGACGTTGTTTCGGAGTAAATTCGCTACTTGCATCCGTAATATCGGTTTCATCTTCAATCATTTCAGGTAAATCAAAAAATAAATATAAACATTTTACTAATGTTGATGGAACAGAAGCAGTAGTCATTGCCTAATAAAATATAAATATATTAATAAATGTAAAATGTAAATATTTAGAATAATGAAATATAATTAAAATACATACTTGTATTACAGAAGTATCACCTGCTGCAAGTAAATTTAGAGCAGAGAGTAACATCCAACCATTACTTGATTCTTCACTATTTTCAATTTCTAAAAATTTTACAATGGCACAACTTGCAGTTTCAGTACTTTGATTGCTTGCCCTCCTACTGATTTCAAATACCATTAATTTAGATACTTGTTGTGTAAATGCCAAAATATCCCAAAATTTTTCACTCATATCTCCTGTTGGACTAGATCCAAATACCTAAATATTAAATAATTCAAATAATTTAATAGAAATAAAAAAATGATAATTTACATTTACATTTAAATTTACATTCACATTTTATTATATTTACATGTGATATTAAAATAGAAAAACTTACCTTGCAAAATAATGGCAACATATTATATAATTTATCATTACGTTCAGCATCAGAAAGGGTATGTGGAGGATGGGTATATTCAGAAAAAAGTTTCTTAAGATGCATAAGGCCCAGAGCAGTATGTTGAGGATTTGTACTTCCAGTACAATCATCTAAACCACCAGTATTATTAGAACCCATACCTCCAACACTTGTACCCCCTCGTAATTTACGCATTATGTTCATACTTAATACTTGCTAAAAACATATAAATAATGTATATAAATTAGATATATTAATTTTAATATTTATTAATATTAAATTTTAATACTAAATTAAATAAAAAAATTAAATATTTAATATATTTTTAACTTATATAATTATATTAATATCTTTATGTATATATTATACATTTTGTAAAACAAATATAATAAATGCTAAATATAATAAATAATTTGCAATAATAAATTACTTTCTGTAAAACAATTTTAATCAATTATAAATAATCAATATAATCAATTGTATAATTAAACTAAGTTTATATATATATATATACACATATATATAGTATTATAATAATATATATACTATCTTTAAAATTATAATTAATTTTAGTTAATAATCTATAATTTATTAATATAATTTAGTAATACTCATAATAATTCATAATAATAATTAATACACAAGTTTTGTGTAAAAATAACTAATTACAATTCTTTAAATTATTATTTATATTCTTACTTACAATTTTAATTAATCACAAAAAGTATATAAAAAAAAGAAAATATAAATAACAACATAAATGTTTGTATGTAGCAATATATTAAAAATTATAAAATGTTTCCATACTACTATAAAAGTTTGAATAGAAATGTTATTGAAAAACAATTAATAAATTTTTAAAAAAGAATTATATAATGTATAAATGTTTATTTATTAATAAGTGAGGTCTTTTTAAGTACTTATTATGCTATTGTATGAAATGTTAACATATCGAAGAATATATAACATGTGAAAATGGCACATTGTTGTGTAAGAAATAAATCGAAACACCATTTCCCAATTGATTATACACATCAGACAATCTTTCATGTGCCATAATAATTTTTATATTTTTATTTACTACTGACACTACTCTTCATCAAACACTCAGTTCAATATTTACGTCTATCTTCTGTCAAAATGTCAAGTTAAAATAAAGTTACAATGACTTCGTAACCGCCCACGATTCTTACAACTAAAATTTAAACACCATCATGCGGACATGTATCATATTCACTAATAATTAATCAGTTATTACCTGAAACGCGACACAAGCCAAAAAATTCTACATTTTCTTTTGGAAAATTGCTCTTTCAATAAGAGTATTTAATATTTCAGTGGCAGCAGCCATCTTCATATTCTACGATTTCTTTGACCACAACCAACGCGATACGTCGATAAGTATCACGTGACTGCTAATAATCACAGATCTATTCATTTTTTGAATGTATTAAGCTTTATATTCACATGTAATAAAAAATAATTTCTATTTTTAATTGATTTTATTTAATATTTAGTTAAATGAAAAATTATATCAATATTAGAGAAAAAATATTAAACTTCGAAAATATTCAAGCATAAATATAATTTTAATATATTTTCATTTGAAACTGTATTAATCAATATAGTAAAAAAAAATACAATATTTGCAAAACTAATTACTTTTTTATTTATTCGCATTATTACATTATATACAAAGTACATATGTATTTAGAAAGTCTTGTGTCAAAATTTAATGAAATAAAAGAACTATTTAATTATAAATGCTTAAAAATTTTTAACTTGTTCGTTGAAAAAAGTCTGAAATTTTTCTTTGTCCAAATTTTTTAGTTGGCGATTCATTTTTATTTGGAACTATAGAATTTTCACCTACAGTTTGAATTAATTTGTATGTATTATGTGTATCTGTAGAAATCTTTATTGATTGATGACTTTCATCTTTGGTCGAATCACTACAACCACTATCCGAGTATTGCGAAATAAGATCTTGTTTTGTATCTAATAATTCTAAACCAGATAATCGGCATTCTTGAATTGTTTTAGTTTGTGTCGTATTCTCTGAAACTTTCCATAAAGATTGCTTTCTTTTTTTCTCTACACTATCTCTATCATAAATTTGTCCTTCTTTTTTCTTTATATTATCTTTACATTGAATTTGTTCTTTTTCCACAGTTCTTTTAACATCTATATATTCTTCTTTTAAAATCTCTGTTTTTCTTTTACTATTAGTATCTTCATCAATACTAGCTAACCAACCTTGTATTTTTTCTTCTTCCATTTCAGGATATTTTTTGGTATCTAACTGAAAAGATCTTTTTTCTCCATTATTAATGCTTTTATTTTTTTTCAAAATTTCTTTTGTTATAGAGACTTTTGTATGAATATTTGTATTTAAATGTTGCGTAAATGATTTTATTTTACTACGATTATACAAAAAACGATAAAAATCTAAGTTTCCTGTTGAAGCAAATTCTTGATACTGCACCAACAATGAAAAAATATGAGCTAAAACATATAATACAATGAATTTTTCCATATATTTTAAAAATTATTTTAAATAATATATTTAAAAAGTATTTGGATATAAATTATATATTTATTTACCTATATTTATTTCATGTTTTACAAAGTGCATGTACATTTCAGCAATAGCATCACGTAAATTTATATCCCCAAAAGTAAAATAAACCATTGATCGACCTGCTACAGCTGCAGCCATTAATTGTAATAAAACTTTCAGTTTTGGATTTCCACGAAATGCACCACATCCCCAGTTTCCAGTTGCAACAGCAGGAAGATTGTTCTTGCTACCTTCGCAACCGACAAATCCTACATAAGCCTATAAAAAAATATAAAAATTATTAAAATTCACATAATTAATCAACTATTATTTATATTATATTAATTAATTTTAAACCTTATTAAGTTCTCTTGTTATATTATTTATGTTGAATTGCGATTGTGTATGTGTAAAATAAAGAGCATCTATTGCAACAATAGATGTTAATCGTCTTCCACTACTATCTTTAGGTGTTTCATCAACATAGTCTCCAACCCATTTAAAAGTGTTACTATAACCTTTATATTTACTATATCTTTCAATACCACTGACAATTAATGCTTCAGTGTCATCTAATTCTTCCGTAACAAGCATTGTCACCATTAATTCAGGACAAATAACAAATCTTATTTCTTCTTGTACACATCCTAATCCAAGAACACCACCACCTACATATCTAAAAAAAAGTATTTTATATGTAGTATTTTTATAAAAGTATGTTAGTAAATGATAATCTAATACTATCTATACTATAATCTAATCTAATACTATAATATTATATAATAATATAATTTAATGATAATATAAAAATTAAAAATATACTTGTTAGCAAAATCCACTTGCAAAAATCCAGTTCCTTCTGTTTCTATTGTTCCTTTACTTGTAATATGTAAGGGTAGCAATTTCTGTACTTGTTCATCCCATTTTGGACAATCGGATTTAGGAATATATCGTCGTTGAATTGTTACTACACCTTCTGGGGCTGCTCTATGGGAAAATTATAATAAATAATGTATTGGTTCTCTATATATGTATCATTAAATAAATATTAACGTACCCACCTTTAGATGTTACTCTGCGAAAATAATGAAATATACATTTCATTTTTTCCATTACAGATTCACATTTATTCCATTTTCCTTCTTTATATGCTGAAAATAATCTATATAAATGTGCATATTAATATATCAATATATTAAATGAATTTTTTTAATTATTTATAATTATTTTTGCATTATTTTACATTATATTATTTATATAATGTCAATTTTTAATGATCATATTCAATTTTAATTTGGTTAAAAATTGCATAACAAAATACCTATTGAAATTGATGTATGGGTATTTTCCATATTCAGACTGTGGATTAGTTGAATTACGTCTTGGAAATGTACAAAAAAATGCATTAGCTAGTAAAGAGGCGATTTGTAACTGGCTAAGACTTATTGCACCATTAGTGTGGCGTTTTAAAAGAGGCACTGAACCTGTTACCAAAACAGGAAGTTGCAAAGCAAGCTGAACCATTTTTGGCATTAATATTTCAAAGAAAATATTTGCTTCTTCTTCATCAAGTACCTTTAGTTTGGAATTATTATATAATGAAATAAGAGTATATAAAAAAAAATATAAAGAATTTTTTAAGATGCTACCTCAGAAAAAAAATGATGAAGTGCAGTAAAATCCCAACGTTGTGCATATATATGATTATAAGAAAGTATTGCATTTTCTAGTTGATGAGTTGAAATAAAATTTTGAAGTAATGATTCCTGTATTATTTCCCATCTGTTTCGGCAACGCCTAGTTCCATTCTATAATGAAATGTAAACTCAATTATTATATTATTTAATAATTTTATTTTTAAATTTCATATTTATTATCATTTATCATTTATTTACCTCATCTATTGGATATACACTATGTTTTGAATGTGGCATTCTAACATAATCCTGACACCATTTTTCTACTTGATATGTAGGATATGGTTTTGGTGTTCCACGTGCTGGTAATGGTAACTATTTTAAGTAAAAATAAATTCATTTTTAAAATAAATTCATATATATTAATGAAAATTATTTATTGAATTTAATATTCACCGATATCAATACTATATGAGATGAAGATGGACAAATAGGTGGTAATTCTTGACAATCATATATACCTAAACCTTTATGTATTTCATCCATGCTCACACCTTTCCATTCAGGTACATCATCCACGGGTTCTGGTTCAGTAACATCAACTAACATTGAACTTGCTTTATGAAATAGAAATAAATAATCAATTAAAATATACATGTATTATATACATATATATATATAATACATATGTATTATACACTTAATTTTAATTTTCCCGAACTTCAAATTTTCAAAATTAAATGTTTAATTAATGTCTTACAATCATCAGAATTTACAGGATTATTTGTCATATTATCTACATCGTTGAAGATATCTGGGGAGAGCGTTTCCTCATCAAGCGACAATCCAGGATCCGACATAATTCTTTAACTAAGAGAATTACAAATAAAATATAATAAAATATAACAATAAACAATACAGTGAAATGAAAATTCTTACGTACAAAAATAAAACGATGTGTAAAAACTATATAATGCATCTCAAAAATAAAATAATCTTGAAATGACAATAAATTATCACAATAATGAAAAATTTTTCAATAATTCTTTAAAATATCGTTTCAAATATGTATAATTATTAAAACCAATATTACGCGTATATTGCTTTGGCGCCACAATTCTTCGTGATGATAAACGTATTGCGGGAAAATTAGACATAACGATACATAAAAAGAAAATTTTATTTAATAATATTAAATAATATTTTTATAAATTATATTAAAAGTTACATTTGCACTTTATATCTGAATATTCTTTACACTTCTATATAACAGTACGCAACATTTCGTAAGTACTGAAATTGCATGAAATACAAATTACTATGAATAAGGTATTGGAATAAATCGAATGTACCATTTAGGGAAATTCAATTAATAGGGGAAAAAATTTTCAGAATATTTTTTAACTAAACGATTAAAATAATTATTTACACGAAATGCAAAATTGTTCACTTTTATTGTATTCTATATTATGCAAATATAAAAATTATTTGAATAGTTTCTACATTATAGGAAAAATTTGTAAATTAATTTGTTATACAAGATATATATATATATATATATATATATATATATATATATATATATATAATAA